AAGATACTAGTGTGAGACCTTGTTCAAGCATGAGTGGGTTTAAAAAAAGTTTTTATGGGGAGTTAAGATCTGGAAAAGTGGGTCAGTTTGAGGATCTAGGTTTTGATGTTTACAATCTTTGTCAAATTATTCTTACATCTCAGAGTGTCAGCTACATCCCATATAGAAAGGTACTACAAAAAGTTCATGCAAGTACATGGTATGCAAAACCAGTACGTGGATTGCAGCACTTGTTTCTGCCAAAATATAGCTATGTTTTAATGTCATCTTTCCACCAACTTAAATGTGCCCATAAAAACGTGTTGATTCGAACAGAAGTCTAGAGTTCTGATAGCTAAATAGAAAAGATTTTAGATTTTCATCCCTGTTGGAAAATTACAGTTGAGACCAGGATCTCCCAACCCCAGATGTCCTCCATGCAAGAAGGGAAAATGATTTCCTTATTGGATAAGCTTAGGGTTTAAACCAGAGGATGACTGGCACCAGAGGCCATCTGTGAAGGGATTGTCAACAAAGGAAGGGACCTCCACCTTTACAGAGCCATTGCTTCCCAGCTCCTTGGGTAACCAGGAACCAGCACTGGAGGCCATGCTGACACTTCCTGTGCCCACTGGAGTCATCCTCTCTGATGGCTGATTGTCCGGTGGGACAGAAAAACACACTTGTGTCTACACTACACACTGCAGCTCCTCCTCTCCCACTTTCAAAGAAACTGTGCCTAAAAGATGTGCATTTCACAGAGGGGCTGAAAGGGGTTTTTATAAGAACAGAAGCCCTCGGGACAAGCAGGAGAGACCATCTTCCTTATTTCAAACTGGGGCAGTGAATCCTTAAATTTATACTAATTTGTATTTGTGCTTTAACCTCTTGGCTTCTACATGAGGATTTTCTTCTTGTTCATCTGGCAGGGAAGACTGATAAACAGAATTGGCTTCGGGTACGTTCGTAATTTTGCGGCATTTTGTTTGTAATTTTCATTTTCATTTGGTTTCCCTCAGTGTAGACATTTTACCCTGTGACTGCCCTCGGTAGCTGGGATTTCCCCACAGGGGAGTCGAGCTCTCCCTAATGCTGCAGGTGCCAAGTAAACACAGCGCAGGACCCTGTTTGTGGCTGTGCAGCCTGTGACATTGGGCTGCGCTCCCAAGGCTGCCAGCCAGTAAGTAGCTGGTAGGACTTTGACCTCAAGCAAGATATCATCATCATCATCATCATCATCATCATCATCATCAGTGCTTTGGGAGGGTCAGAGGTTTCTGTTTTTGTTTAAGAAACACTTTGCCAGCTGTGAAAGCTTAATTTTGTCCCATGTTACTCCTCAACAGAGGCCAAAGTACTGATTATCATCTGTATAGAGCTAAATGACAAGTTTCTCTAAAGTGGAATTAGAACCCAGGCAGCAATGACTAGAACTTTCTCCTCTACTAACTTGAATGACTTTCCCTTTCCATTCTCCCCTATGCAAATGAGTTTCCCCTTAGGGTTTCCATGCGGTTCCCGCCCCAAGGCAATCTTATCACTGCTGAGCTTGAATTTCACTAACACAGCTGTTGGGGCTCCACAGGGGACCTGGGAGAAGGCTGTCTTTTGTAGCCACTTGCTTCCTAAAAGATTCCGAAGAAGAGCAAACTTCATAGCCTGAGCATTCACTGTGCATACTTCACACCTGCCCCTGCCCGGCCCTGCCTTGTGGAAGGCCAACCTAAACGAAGCAGTGGCCACTTTGTGCATAGCTGCCTTACACATTGCTTAATGACCTCAACCAGTGGGGCCCCGTGTTCATCCCGATGGGGTGGAAGTGCCATGGAGCCTTGCTCCTGCCCTGGACCTTGCTGGAGACGGCTGGGGTGTTACCTGCATTCTCCATCATGCCTGCAGTGTTGCTTGTCACAGAACCCAACGTGCTTGCTTTGCTGCTGATTAATAAATAATGGGGTGTTTATCTTGGAGGGTTTTTTTTTTAATTGGCAGAGGCCCTGCAAGAGTCAAACACTCTCTGTAAAGGAAGAAGGGCCTCCTTGTTTATTCAGGGCCTGCTTTTCTGTTGAGTGCGAGAGGATCATAGGGGGGCAATTTCTGGCTTGTCAAACCACAAGTCAAATTTAGGCAGCTTTCTCTTTGGATTTGAAAATAGACCATTTAAACATGACCTATTCTCGGATGTCAGTAATGATGGTGATGATAGTGAGGGTGATGATAATGATGATTTTTGTCTTTTCTGGGGTGATGATGGTGATGAGTGTTATCTGTCTGCTCTGTGGTTAGAGAAAGAACCTAGCAGAGGGAGAGTTGTGTCCGTTGCAAACAACTGACATCTATTTAAGTATATTTCTGGGTCGTTGCTTGGGTGTCCAACACAGGCTTAGCTGCTGAGATCTGCAGTGATGTATGCACAGTGAGGGACAGCTAGATGGAGTCACATGTGTGGAGTGGGCCAGGAGGGACTGACAGAAAAGATAAGCTTGATGATTGATCGAGGGTTACAAGGGCAGCAGGAAGAAGCAGAGCAAAGTGCCTTCTGACAGCAGACACAGCACACGTGAAGGTTTGATGCAGGAACAACAGTGGGTGTTAGGGAGCTCTGCAGGTTGCATACTGCTGAGGATCGGGTGGTGTAGGAATGCCAAACGGCCATCTACAGGCACACCAATGCAACCCATGAACTGTCTCAGCAGCAGTAGCAGATTCCTCCAGCAGATGCAACCTTGGCCAAGGGGGATAGGCATCCAAATAGACCAGTCGCATCTTCCTTATTCATATTCTGTGTTCACAAGTCTTCCATGGCCAGGAATGGAAAGGTACTTGATACATACTTCATCCATTCTGCTAGAAAGATGGCAGCTGGAGAGAGGCAAAAACAGTTGCTTATTCAATGGCTCAAGGAATCCTAGATCACAAGGTAGCATCATTTTCTCCAAGAAGCTTTCATGTTTTCTTTTTCATTTCTTCATATCACATTGCTTATTCAGTCACATGTTACTTAACTCCTTGGTGCTATAATTATTTTTTTTGTTTTTATCTTATTCCTGTTGTTGATTTTGTTTTATGGCTTTTTGTGTAACTGGATGTACAGTAACTTTAATAGAGACCGTCATATCCAGATGTGAACATACAATGCAGCATGCATTTTTACTTCCAAATCAATGATGAACTCCCAATGAAACTGTTGGATATATTTTGGCAATAGGATGCTAAACTGCGTGCCATTGTCTGTATCAGCAATGTCAGGATGTAATGGCAGAATGATGGACTTAGGACTATACTGTTGTGATAGTATGGTGGAAATTAGATAGGGGGAAAGAAGTTTAGGGAGGGGGAAGGAAAATCTCAGAGCCTATAGAATTGTATCATAAAATTAAAAATATAACAGAAGTAAAAAATATATATATATAGGTGGCAGCTGCTGCTGCTGAGCAGAAATGGAGTTTAAGAGCTCCTTAATTTGTAACTGGTGATTTCATTAGTAATGGGTTCCTCTTAGGCGAGTAGAACCCTGGGGACTTTGATCATGGACAGATCCCATGTTTAACAAGGGAGAGAGCTTGGGAAATGCCTCCTGGCTTTTTTTTTTTTTTCTTGTGTGAAAGACAGGATGCTGGGAAAGCTGTCTTGGTTTAGCGCACTATTGATTGTATCCCTGTGCCAGCAAGGACACCTGGCTCTGTGTTGGGTGTTTAGTAATGGAGATTGCACAGACATCTGCCCTGTGTTGTATGTGCGGCACACCTCAGCAGGCAGCTCAGTGGAATAACAGATGTGTGCATAGTTCTAGTAATCAGTGGTTTATCTGTACATGCACGCGTATCTACCCTGTAAGTCCATGTTCTCTCTTAAGTGCACACAGTGCGCTTTATTTCAAAATGAACAGGTGAGATGAATGTTGTCATAAATATGTCTCCTATGTCTAACACTTCCTGCTAAATGTAATCAACTCAGCCAAAAGAACTGCTTTCATTGTTGCTGGGAGCTCACTAATGCATTAAAAATCCAATCTCGTGTAATTTCAACTGAAGCACCTTAAATTGGTTTTAGTCAACATATATCAGTGAACCCACTGAGGGAAGAACAGCTGTAATGTAACAGTTTACTAAAACTCTTATAGCACAACCAATATATTTTAAAGATGTATTTATTTGAAGGGCTAGCCCCTGGGTGGACCCAGTTAAGCCTCTGCGTGCGGCACCAGCTTGCCACATTGGCGCCACTTCTAATCCCAGCTGCTCCATTTCTAATCCAGCTCCCTGCTAACGGCTGGGAAAGCACCAGAGGATGGTTCAAGTCCTTGGACCCCTGCATCCACGTGGGAGTCCTGGAAGAAGCTCTGGCTGTTGTAGCCATTTGGGGAAGTGAACACCAACAGATAAATCTCTCTGGAAGACTTTCCTTCTCTATCTTGTGAATTACCATTCATGACAAAATAAAAATGTAAAAAAAAAATCATTTATTTGTAAGAGTTAGAGAGGGGAGTGATTGAAACAGAGAGAGAGGAAGAAACAGAGAAGAAGCTTTCATCTGCTGGTTCACTTCCAGATGTTTCCAATGGCCAGCCCTGTGCCAGGCTGATGGCAAGAGCCAGGAACTTCTTTCCCATCTCCCCTGTGGATGCAGAGGCCAGGCACTTGGGCTGTGTTCTCCTACATTCCTGAGCCATTAGCAGGCAGCTGGATTGGAAGAGGAGCAGGTGGGAATTGAGCCAACATCCATGGGAGATGCTAAAAGTGCAGGCAGTGGCTTTACTTACTGTTCCACCACCTGGCTGAACACAGTAGAGTTATTATTAGCTATATTCTTTATTTTATGCATTCAATCTTTAGATTTGTTCTACCTACATATTTGATATATTGTATCTCAATTTAATAGAAATCAATTCAACTCAAAGAAACTGTGTGTGTGTGTGTGTGCCTGTGTGTGTGTGTGTGTGCGTGTGTGTGTGTGTTGGGTGCCAGGTATCTATGATAATCAGAAAGTGGGAAATCTCTAATTTTGTTTTATTTTTGTAGGTGCTGGTGAATCTGGGAAAAGCACAATTGTGAAGCAGATGAAGTAAGTAGATTTAAAATCTTGAATTTGTTCAAGCGTCTGCTCTGGGCAAAGGAAAGCCCATGTCCTGGTTGAACTTTGTGTCTCGTTAGAATCATCCATGAAGCCGGCTACTCGGAAGAGGAGTGCAAACAGTACAAAGCCGTGGTCTACAGCAATACCATCCAGTCCATCATCGCCATCATCAGGGCCATGGGACGGCTCAAGATAGACTTCGGCGAGTCTGCTCGGGCGGTAAGAGATGGAATTGGTTGGAGCAGGTCTGATGGGTAAAAGCAGTAGCTTCCTTGGTAACTTGTCACCTATCAAGCCTCTTCACCCGAGTCAGGAAGGGAGTAGTGAGTGCAGTGAGCCAGGGTTGTATAATTTACAGGGTGGGGTAATCTCTCCTGTGGAGCTCTGCTTTGCTACTTTATCCTGTGACCTGGACAACTCAACAATCATAGCAGTATATTGTGTCCCCTGCCCTATACCAGTTGTCCCGCTCTCCTCACGACAGATTTTAGTTGTTCCAACTGGATATATGGCTTAATTATACTGGCAATCTTCAAAGTATTTTTTTATCGTTTGGAATCCTGACATCTGATTATTTATAATCATGCCAGACTTGGAACACACTCAAATGGCAAATGATGAAATAGTGGAAAGCTTTGCTTATCATCAGAGACGGGATATATTGACTGTTAAAAAACAGTTGTCAGAGTTTTAGAGATGAAGATCTTTGGCCTGACTAGCTGGTTCCACTGCTTTGTTCTACCAGAAAGACAATGGGAAGTCATATGGTCCATTCTCTGGGTTGGGTGTTTAACTCCAAGACTTGATTCCAATTTACTTGGAAGTGACCCAGGTCCGTAAAACATTCTATTTCTTCTTTCCTCTTAGCCTACTTTTGGTTGCTTATTCTGTTAGCTTCAAGTTCGTTAGCTTTATATGATTCCATTGGACTTTAGTGCTTTTTTAAAAAACTGATCTAAAACTTAATATGACTGGCAAATTTATGTGAACTCTTGCTGTTTGGTACACAGTAGATGTTTCATAATTTTGCTAATTCTGTTCATCTTCATAGTTCCTTTATATCTTCATTACTAAGTGTGTGTGTGTTGCTTTAACTACTAAAATAATGAAGTTTTTGTGTAGAGAGGTTTTTTTTGTTTGTTTTATTGTATGCTAGCTTTTTAAACTTAGAGACTCAGGCCGTGCTTGATAGGAAAGTAACATAAATGAAAACATCTGAGGTTAGACGTTTGAGAAATCTGCTAAAAACATCTTTTTGTAAATTGTCATATGCATTCTATTTATTCTGAGACAAACAGGGGCCATGTGGAATGCTTCATCCCCCGGATGCTAGCAGCAACCTGCATTGTGCCTGGCTAAAGCCAGGAAGCCAATGCATGTCTCCCCACGAGCAGCAAGGACTCTGCTCCTTAAGCCATCGCCCGCTGCCTCCTAGGGTGTCCATGATTAGGAAGCTTGGAGTGACAGCAAGTGTTGATTGGTGCTTTTAGCTCTGCCAGATATTTGCTCGCAAGTTCCTTAAAAAAATATTTTTGTTAGCATTCACAGGACTACATTTGTTTAAAGTTTTTTTTCCCCCTTCAAGACAGTTCATCTAAATTTAGTATTGATCAATTGAGAATTCTAAATAGACCTTCAGATCATTGATTTTCTGGTGATGTACTTTATGGCGATTGTGTTGAAATGATATGTTAAATTCACTTCTACGGTTTTGTGCAGTCAGACGCCACATATGTAGGAGACAGGTTCAGTGCCCTGCGCTTAAGGGACGGTGCAGCAATGTTTTAAGGGATGCGAGCACTTTATTTTCCAGTTACTTTCTCAGGTTGGTTTACTGCTCCACTCTTTAACTCTTTGAAAAGGGACTCTGCTCAGGTTCAGGACCCACTGGGAAAGGTGACTCTCTCAGCACGTGCCTTCTTTTCTGCAGTGGCGTTGCGCTGCTTTGGGTCTGTGTTGGGGACCACTTTGCTCTCTGCGGTGCTGCTTGGCTCTGCTGCTGTCTGCCTCTCGGGATGTGTCCTGGTACCTGCTGTCATCCTGAACTCACTGGCACAGAGGTCGGCATACCTGCAGGTGGCTTCCCAGTGGTCCACTCCAAGCTGAAAACCCCAGCCAGCCCTGGGAACTGTTCTTAGCCATGCTGAGATCAACTAAGCATGGCGTGAGCAGAGGAGGAGCCATTGGAGCTGAGTGTTACAATGCCAGTAAATGTTCCAGATAAAATCAAGGGAAAATCACTCTGTACATAAGGAGCTATGTTAAAAGTTAGTCTGAATATATTTGTGTTTCTGTAATATAAATTCTTAGAAGCATTAGAGCCAATTTGAAAAATAATTAGATATTTAATTTTGGTAAATGTCACAAATCGGGTTTCCAAAGACAAGCAATAGGCCATTAAAAAAATAGGCTTTATTTTTCCATCCATCCATTCATCTATTTATCTGAAAGGCTGAGTGACAGAGGGAGAACAAGGGGTGGAGAGCCATCTTGTCTATTGTTTGACTCTCCGTGGCTACTACAGCCAGGTCTGGTCCAAGACAAAGCCAGGAGCCAGGAACCGATGTCATCTCCCAGAACCAATGTCGTCTCCCAGGTTTGGGTTGGCAGTAGGGGCGGGGATCTGAAGTGTATCATAGCTGAGACATGGCCCGGGTCTTCCAATATGGGGTACAAGCATCTGGAAGGATGGCTTGCCCCTCTGTGTCACCCAAGCATCTGGAAGGATGGCTTCCCCCTCTGTGTCATCCCAGGCATCTCCTGAAAGGTCTTCCTTCTGAGGGTGCATCCTTAACCATCTTCCCAGTGTCACCAACTCAGATGTTATTAACTCTTGAATGTCTCGCCACTGATCCATGATGAGAAATAGTCTTTTTTTTAGTATCTACTTTTCTGATGTGTAAAGTCCTTTTGAAACATTTTACCTGTTTGTATTTCTTCCTTGTCCTTTGCTGGTTTCTGTTACATTTTATGTGCCTTTTTCACACTGCTTCTCTTTCAACATTAGAGATAGTAGCCATCCTTATGTGTTACAAAGAATTTTTCTCAGTGTATTTTTTTTTGGCTTTTTTGAAATCATACCTTCTTGCTAAATAACTGTGCTTTTCTTGAAGTTTATACTGATATCTTTGCTTGATTTCATTGCCAAGGCATTTTTCACCTCTGGTTGTGTTTTAAAATACTCCTATTTTTCTAGAACATGTGCAGGTTTATTTATTTATTTTTTTCTACTTATCTCTTCACCTGTTTGGAAGTGTTAATTTTTTGTTGCTGAATGGGTGGAATTTTCCACTCTGACCCTCTCTTGCCTTAAAGCTGTAAGTTAAACAATCATTCTGTTTTTCAGCGATGTCAACTTATTCCTTTAAGCACTAAATTGCCTGTGTTTTTTCACCGTTTTTTTTTTCATTCATACATTCTTTTTTTCTTAAATCACTTACTTACTGAAGTAATTTTTCCAAGCATGTTGCATCCCAACAAAGTGGACATAAGGATAGCATCTTCCTTACAGAATTTTTTGAGTAATGATGACAGAATGAGTATCAAATATGTGCCAAATGCTTTGCTCGTAATTGATGCTCCATAAATTGCTGCTGCTGTTGTTATTTGTAGGTATCTGTTATTGTTGAAATCACATTACTTCCTGTTGCGTCACAGCATTGACCAGTAGGTAATGACCACCCCATCCTAGTGTGGGTTCATTGTGTGCGTTCATAAGGTGTCATCCGGGTGAACTGGAGAATCGAGACCCTCAAGCCAGAAAAGTGCCTGTTGATATTTCTGTTGGGTCTCGCTTAGGTTGATTTGGTGCAAACTGGCTTCAAAGGAAGGCTAAGGAAAGGTGACTGACTGGTTGTGATTTGCCCCAAGTTCAGCAGTCAACAGGTTTGCAAAAGATGCCCATGAAGTGCACATTTCAAATGAGAGGGGAATAATATTGCTTTCAAGGCTGACTCAGAGCAATCCTATTTTATCTATATGGTCTGTTTCAAAGTTTCTCATAATGATGATGGTCCATTCCTATGTGATCATTTGGACTGTCACCTGAACTTCAGGAAGCATTACATAGGGACCCCAATCAGCCTGTCTTTTACTACTGGTGACTTGGAACAAAGGTGCTGAAAGAAGTCCATAAGCTGATGCTGGTCCACAAATAAGATTGTGTGCAGGTAAACAGGGAAATGAAATTGTGTGTTTAGACTGGTTTATAGCAAATAGCAGACGAATCTGTTATCTCTGCTCGTTTTCAAGTAAGAGTTTCTGTTTTATAGGCTGTTCGATTTTAGCTTTTTAGTACCATTAGTTCGGAAATAAATCGGGAAATACACAAGAATAAAATAACAGATTGGTCCTGCATGAAAAGAGAGCTTGAAAAGTTCTTTTGTGAAGTACCTTGCGCTGTGGGGAACAAGAAGCTTTGCCTGGAATGCACTTTTAGCATCCTACCTTGCTCCTTACCTAAGGGTGCTTGTCTGTTCCAACGAGTTTGTCATTTATTTTCATTATTTGTCTATCTTGTATCTGCCTGCCAGATTGACCAGATTACTTTTGAGAAAGGTTGTACCTGGCAAACAGCAATTTCTTATAATGCCTTCCTTCTCTTAGCCCACTCAGCAGCTAGCATTTAAGACTCTTACATTAATTTAAAAAAAAAAAAAAACAACTCTGCTGGCTTGTAAATTGTAAACCTAGGGTCAGTTTTAATTGGATTTCCAACTTGGGTGTTTCCAATTTCCTCTGACCTTATTCATGATATGTTTATTTCTTCCTGTTTGTTCGTTTTATTCCTGTTGGAGTCTTGCTGTTCTGAATATCTTTTCCTTACCCGTATTTGTGAACATACCCTTTGCACAACGCATTCCACGCATTCGATCTATTATTGCCTTTACTATTATGGTAGCTTATGTATTGTAAATTCCTGTTATTGTTTTCCTGTTGTTACAACATCCTGTGACAATCAAAAATTTGCCCAAACCTGGCGTTCTTTTTACATATTTTTTGTTGCGGGGAGGGCAAGTTTTAACCTTCATTTCTGTGCTTGTTCTTAAATCCCTTGGCGCCTTGTTTTGGAAGCCTTGAGGCAGGATCAACACGATACTTCACTCTCTCCATGCTTGTCTCATTACCACCCAATGCTTTCTGAATGATCACATCTTTGGCTGTTGTATTCCCGTGTAAGTTCAGGGTTGCTGTATTCTCCACTACCGCCTTTTGTGAATACTTCGCCGTACTCCCTATCTTGTGTGTTCCGTATCTGAAAAGTTCAGTCCTACTTTGCTAGTCTTCTCTTTTCAAACTGTTCTTGGATAGTTTTACTTGATGGTTTTTTTCCCCCATGTGAATATTTATTTGTGGAAGTAGTAACCTAGTTTAGATTTGAGATCTGAGATAGGGAGGCATGGTGTTGTATATTTTTTGGTTCTGACACACATTGCTAGACACATGTAGTAAAGAGGACATTAACTGAATTGTAACGTGCATTTCTGCACAGTTTATTTCTACTTTGTTTTGTTCACTTGTCAATGATTTCTGTATCCTCACGTTAGTTTCTGTGAAGTCCCAATGAAGAACACATATGTGTCAATATTGTTTTATTTTATTAATTTGAAAATAGCGATATGCACATTTACAAAACTCATAAAAATATTTGTAAGTTGCATTTTTGTGGCACATTTATCAGTCACTTTCCTTCTTGACATAAACAAACTTACGCTTTATTCTAAATAGACTGCAATTTAATCAAAAAGTTTGCACTTTGCAATTTAATTTAAAAAAGTAACTTAGATGATTTTACTTTGGGGCTTCTTCACCCTTTTACATAATCCTGTGGGCAAAGAGAAAAATGACTTCCTGCCTTCTTGCCCAAAGTCATTTCTACGTTGATCACATTTGTGTTTTTAAGAGAAAACGTGTCTTACATTTACATAACTTAATCTAAGCAGGTGCTCCGTGTCCGAGGTTGGCCATCTGAGTCACAGAGCGATGAACTATCGCTCTTAGGATTTCCTCAAGGGTGTGCTAGCTCTGATAAGATGTGGTAGATGAGATATGTGAAAATTCATTGTAGTCAAGATCACTGGCTCGTTGTAGTAACGTCAGCAGCTAACCCACAGAAGGAGACTTCCTCTCTGTCAGTCACGATATCACTGTGTTATTCCCTGGGGCCGGAAATTCAAAGGTACCAACTTTTTTTTTTTTAAATAATCCTTTATCACATCTCATAGCCTCTATTTTAGAAGGGCTTTTTGGTATTTTCTGTTTAAACTCTTAATCTCATTTACCCATTCTGTTGCAGTGCAGTGAAAACTACCCTTCCCTTTTTTGCATCTTGAGACTCTTATTATTAGAAAGAGTTCTCTCACTCAACTGGAAGTTGCAATCTGTTGCCTTAAGAATGCTCCTTTGCGCTGTGTCTACACTGCAAGCTACCCTTTCTTACCTTTTATGATCTGTAATATTGGAGAAGACAGCCAGCATGCTCCTTCAGGGGCGTGTCTCCCCATCCTGGGTAGGTTCCTGTGAATTCTTGTCAACCAGGTGACAGCTTGACATAAAGTGAGCCATCCCTCATAAAGGACATCCTGCCTTGACCCTCCACAGAAGAGAAGATTGGTTCTATTTGTCTCCTGGCACAAAAGCATTTCAGATCCCTTTCTCGGTTCCCAGAGTACTTGGGACCCTGTGCTGGATTTGTATTCTCTAAATTATTTTGGTTTAATTCTTGTTCATTTGAAAATATTGTAACTGGGTTTCATCCAAGATTTTTTTTTCCTTGCTGTTATCAGGTAATGGCCTGGAAAAGAGCATCCTTTTATTTCCAACCCCCAAAACCACGGAAGAATTCCTGTAAGCTACATGACTCACCTGTAGCTTTCCAGACCACATTGCATTGTCATCTCCAGTAATCCCTCTGCATTTTCTACCTCTTGTCACACACATGTTGATGTTTGTGAATGTTCGTAAGAAACACATTGTTCATGAGTCTTGCAGAGACTCCACCCCATAACGAGACAGAGTCATGTCCATGGTTGCCCACTTTGGAAATGTATCCTGTTTTAGACGGTTACTGCACTCCGTTAACTCAACTAATGGATGTGATTGGGTGACTAGCTTTGGGATTTGGGGTATGTTGCGAAACCTATCTGCACCTTGGTTTTGTTTTGTTTCTCACCTTGTAAAGCAAATGATTAGGTAAAATAACTTCTGCAGTGCTTTCCTGTTCAAACACGTGACCTGGAAGCAGGGAAGTGGAGTGGCATATTCCGATGAGGTTCTCAAGAGGAGGAGGGTTTAGGTTATGCGAGGATATCGCTTTTTCAGAAAATGATGAATTTTGTGGTGTGTGTTTGAGGTTTGTAGCATTTTCTGAGATTCGTTAAGATGGTTATTTTTGTGAAGCAGGTGAACAAATGCCCCATCTCCCAATTTCTTTCTGTGTGATCGTCAGAGCAGGTGAAAATCCACTCTACTTAGCAAAACTCCTTCCTGCAAACACCATGTTTCCGGCTGTGCTTTTCCTGCCAACCCTGGAGGTGCTGTGACTCGTGCATCTTGCACTCTCGTTCGATGTCCTTTTACCTGTGTGCTCCACTTTCCTTCCTTCGCCAGCTCTGAGCACCACTATTTTGTGCTCTCTCTCTCTTTGTCTTTGACCTGTTTTTATGTTTGACCCAGGGGACTCGTGCAAAGTGGTATGAGCCAGACGTAGAAATAAAAATGTTGCATGATCTCACTTACGCGTGGAATCTTAAAAAAACAAGAGAGAGAGAGAGAGAGAGAAACATTTTTGAATGCCACAAAGTGCAATCTATAAATACATCTTCCCAAAGCTTCCTAGGTCTTTTCTTCAGGATTCCTCCTCAGAAGTTTCAGGAGGATGTTTTCACCCTTACTGGCAGGCATTTGTCTGTTCTGTCACAAACTTTTAGTAAGTGTAGATGCGTTGTAACAAGAGCTCAAGTGCCACGAAAGTGGCAAGTACGGAACTCAGGTATGATGTAATGTTAATACGTCCACGTGGCCAAATGCAGGCATCTTTGGCGTATGATCATCTGGCCTGCTGGATGACTTTTATTAAAATTGTGTCACCCATGCTGAGTGACTTCAGACACTCGACTGACGAGATGGGGCACATGTTCTTTGCTGGCATGAATTTGTCTTGTGATTTGCTAAAAAGGGAAACATATGCTCGAATAATATCTTCCCATGCTGAGAGACTTAATTATTTGTCATGATGAATTCCAACCGAAAAGAAAATGTCTCAGGCATTGGCAAGAGATTGGATGTCTATTGTCGGCTGGTACAGGCTGCTGGCCCTTGTCACCAGATGCTGCCCTGTGCCCACCTGACTGCAGAATGGCCCTTGAATTGTGTGCTCACTTAGAACAGTGGTGAGTCTTAGGCTATGGAGAATCTCTATGACGGGAGGGTGGGAAGAAGCTCCACCCTACCCTGCCTCCTCTGTATATTTTTAAATACAAGGTAAAATACATATTTTTTTTTTAATTTCACCTGACTTTGTTTTGCATTTTTTGGTAGTGGGTCACATGATGCTTCTCTTGGTCAATGCTGGTTACTTGAGGGTCTGAATAGCTAAATATTTGGCCTTATGGTCAAAGTTCCTTTGTCTCGTATTGGGTATGAGGATAGAACTAGTCTTCAGATTCCATCTTTGTGTTAATGCAGAGTTGGGAGGCCATGGTGATGTTGTAATACTGGGATCTTGCCACTTGGGTAGGGCTGTGCCCAGCCAGCTCTGGCTGAAGTGGACATTTAGGGGTTGAGTCAACACACGGCAACTATGAATGTGAGTGTGTGTGTGTGACTCTTAAATAAATGTGTGGCTACATTAGTAGCGCCAGAACTTTTTAAAAACAGTATACTCTGTGTTTCTAATTCAGATCTGATCATTGCTTTTCTCCGCAGAGATTAACAAACATCTCCCAAGTGGTGCCCCACTGATTTGAAATACACATTTTGAGGTGTCCCCCAAATTCCATTGTATGAAAGTAATTCTTCTTCCACCTTGATTTCTCCCATTCTGCTCTTACACTGCATCCATAAAATATACAAATTGTGCTCCAGCTACTCTGTAGAATACTACTCAGCTAAGAATAATTAAAAAAAAAAAAAGAATGAAATCTTACCATTTGTAACAAAATGGTCCCCACTGGAGAGCATCATGTTTAGTGAAATAATCCACTCCCAAAAGGGCAAGTACCGTGTCCTTTAGGCAAAGTACAGCATTGTAGGTAATAGATAATCAAGTACACCCATATACTCTCACAGATGAGTTGTACAATGTAGACGAGCATACTGGGTAGGAAAGTTGTGTTGCCGTCCCTGTCTTGAGTCCTGAATCAAAGCAGGATTCCCATTTTGAAACATGGAAATATACCCATATGTAGCAAAACTAGACTTTCTGCCTCTATCTATACTTATCATGCCATGAGACATTTAAATAACACGGAGTTAATCTTGTAACTGTTACTAAGAAACTACACTAGTGTGATAATTTGGGAAATAGTAGTGGGGGTGGGAATGGAGACGAAGAAGGAAGGAGCCATATACTTATAAAACTATATCATGGGAAATAATAAATGTATTAACAATTATATTCTTTCTTGATGTTAACTGCTAAGGGTGTTACAGGTGCCATATTCGAACCATGATGCAGAGCAAGGTGCAAGACACAAGATATTTCATTCTTTTTTTTTTTAAGTGTCTACAGATCACAAGGAAATAATTGAATTGTTGATTCATGTCACCTTCATGAAGTGTAAATTTAGTAATTTTTTTCCAGTTGCAGATGACTTCCTGGGTAATAGATATTACTAACGCTACAGAAAATAGACTTGGGATTTATGAATATGTTCCTTTGATTAAGCTAGTTTGTTTTAATTGTGGTTGTAGAGAGAGATTTATAACCCTTCTGCGAAAAACGTAAGAGAAGTCAGTCCTTGTATAATTTTCTATCTGTAATGCTCCCTGTGGTACTTTTTGCCTCTAACATGTTTCCTCCCTTCTTACTCAAACAATGGCCGCTCAATGTTCAGGATGATGCCCGCCAACTCTTTGTGCTTGCTGGAGCTGCTGAAGAAGGCTTTATGACTGCAGAACTCGCTGGAGTGATAAAGAGATTGTGGAAGGATGGTGGTGTGCAAGCCTGTTTCAACAGATCCCGGGAGTACCAACTTAATGACTCGGCAGCGTAGTAAGTAATCATAATTCCAGAGCTCAACTCTCATGAATAATTGCTGGCAAGTCAAATACACCTCCAAGGCAGTTGTACTGCACAATTGGCTGACGTGTTCTTGTGCGGCTCCTGATGTTCAGCATTTAAAGACTGCCTCTGTGTGTGTGTGTGTGTGTGTGTGTGTGTGTGTGTGTGTGTGTGTGTGTGTGAGAGAGAGAGAGAGAGATAGCGGCACTGTGGTTGCCTGTGTACGCAATGGTATCTCCAGAGATTCTTACTTACGTAACTTTATTTGGAACATGCCCAACGGGGCTATTTTCAGGGTGCTTCCAGGAAAGTCTTTGGAACTTCTCTGAATTTACTCAGAGTTTGGGTGTATCCACGGTTTGCTTGGCGCTAGCCAGAGAGCCGGGTAACTGATCTGTGTTGCTTCTGTGACATACCTGGTGCCACAGAAGAACTGCTTTGTGACGGAAGTTGCAGCAGGAACATCTTAAAAGGGTGGTGGTGGGGAGGTGAGGATAGTGCTGGTGGCCTCACCAAGGAAAGCAGCCCATCACTCGAACATACTTTGTTGTACACGCTCAGTTGTATTAAAAACTGTTTAAGCACCGTTTTGGGGGGAACAGAAAACTTGATCCAAGTGTTGCGAGTGGTGGTCCCAGAAAATCAGCTGAACAAATTGTCATAAAAGCCTAATTAGGAAGGCTTCTTTTTGTTTAAAATAAAATAAATAAGGTGAGGGGAAGCAACCCACATATTTGCTCTCCCTGATTTGCTGTGTGTGTACGTATGCATGCGTACGCACGCTCCGAAACTACAGCTCTGTTCTTTGAAGCATCCCTCTGTCTTTAAGATGTGTGCCCGGCATTAACTTTGCTTCCCAGGGTCATTCTGTCTGTTTGACAGGGCTATCGACTTGTAGGGATATAAATCCGAAGCAGATAGAAGATGACAGGCATCGACCTGTTTGGGTCGATGCATGCACTTTGCCATAGTGACAAAGAGATAAATGGGGTGTGGCAGCCGAGGGCCCCCTTATCTTACGGCAGAGCACACCACGGCACATGTAGTGCGGTTTGGTGTGAGTGAATATGTAACGCACACCACTGAATTAGCTTGGCAATCTTTACCCTGATTTTCTTTACCTATGCGTTAAATACTCTAGCTCATCTTTTGTATATATGGGGTCTATAGGTAAATAGTAAATATATAACTCAATCTCATGGCCTCTGTAATCCTCCCCGTCTCTCCCTTCCTTCCACAAGGAAATATCCTTGCCTCGCTAAGCCAGTCCTGGCTTCTCCTTTGAAGAATACATAATCTCATGCATTTTCCTTTAGGTGTGCATGAGTTTTAAGGTTATCGGACTTACGTTTATACTGTGACTGTTTGATTCTTTTTCGTCCCTGCTGTAAAACCAACATTGTATCCTAGCACCCCTGGCACCTAGGTGTCAATTCAGTATGATCTTGTTTAATAAGGGATGAAAGAATAACCTAGATTCACAGAGGTTAGAAGGCAAGTTGGGAAAAAAAAAGGTCACCCTTTTAAGGAAAATATCTTGAGATGGTGATGCAGCCATTTTTTCAAGAGCAAAGGAAGTTGCACAAGGATTTTTCTTCATGATATTTAGAGGCTATCTTGTTTTCAGCAGGAGGGATGTGGCCATGTCTCTCAAGCTTGTCAAATCGCCATTTGTGTTGTCACCCATGCTCTTTTATAGTTTTTCAATATACTTGTTTTATCTTGTTGAAATATACATGTGCATTATTTTTTAGAAACCATAGCACTTCTACATAGAGAACCATTTATGAATTATTGCAGTGTATTAAATAATGCCTCAATATTTGAGTGAAATCTTGCTGTGTGACTTGCTTTGTTGTTAAATCCCATTTTCTTGCATAAGGTACACTTTAAAGGGGCATTTACAGAAAGTTCATAGGAAGTATATATGATGAGAAAAATTGATGTATGGAATGCAAAATGCTTTTGCACCCAAATAATTTTCTTTTGTCTTTGAATTGCATTTTCCACAAAGTTTTTTTTTTGAAGTTGTTGCCTGATGTAGAATTAAAAGCAGGGTTTAGGAGCTAGTGTCATGGCATAGCAGCCGAAAGCTGCTGCTGGCCACACCAGCATCTCCTAGGAGCACTGGTTCGTCTCCAAGTGCACCACTTCCCATCCGTTTCTCTGCTGAAGGCTGGAGAAGCAGCAGAAACTGGTCCCAGTGTTGAGTCCCTGCCTTCCCAGTGGAAGACCTGGCTGAAACTCCAGTCTTCCTCCTGGCCCAGCTCTGACCCTTGCGGCCCTCTGAGGAGTGAAGCAACAAACAGATCTCTCTCCCTTTTTCTCTCTGTCCTTCTCCTCTTCTCTATAAAGATTTTCAAATGAACCTTTTATATATATAAAGACAGAGATTGTACTGGGAGACTCTCACCAATCAATCTGATCAGGTAATAGGATTCTCTTTGGTTCAGTGAATGCAGACAACCCAAGCTGCTAGCTCCAGCCATTCAAATAGCAATGGCTATATGTGTGTGTGTATGTATGTATATACCTGACTGCCTAGAACATTTTGGCTGCTACTGAAGTATTTATATAGCTTTCCGACCCTGTCTCTGATAAATCAAATATTTAGTGAGCTCCTTTCTGTTTGCAAGGGCACATTCTAAATGGCTGATGGACAGTTTCTCAGAGTGCTGCCAATTTAAAGCTACCACAGTTGGAAACCCTCTGTAAGTGGCCTTATGTTGTCTGTGGAGATGTTCTACATCCCCAGCTCTCCCTGAGTTGTGTTCCTGACCTCTAGTTGAGGGTTGTGTGTAGCCTGCTCGTGACCTTACCCTAGGAAGAGGCACGACGAAATGGTTGAGACGGTCCCTTCTCCATGCTGTTGGCATCTGGTCCTGATGGAAATGGCCTCCTGTCTTAGCTTCTGCTACTTGGATGTGTATCTACTTCTCTCAATGTCCATGAAGCCTTTAATTGCCTGAGTACATTTGCTCCCCTGTTCCTCACTTTTCATGATTTTTTGATTGTTCCGTTTGACACAAAGAATTACATTGCATGTTGTGAGCTGCATTTATTTTATTGATTTTATTCACTTGAGGGAGACAGAGAAAAAAAATCTTGTGTGCCAGTTTACCTCCCAGCTACCCACAAATGTCAAGACTGCAGTGGGGTGATATTTGGAGTACAAAACAAAATTCAGAGCTCTCTCGTGGGTGGGGAGCGATCTGATCACGTGAGTCAACACCCACTGTCTCCCAGCGTTTGATTAGCGGGAAGCTAGAGGCAGGAATGGAACCAGGTTTCCTTACCAAGCACTCTGATCATGGATGCTGGCGTCGTAACAAGGGTCTTAGTTGTTAGATCAACTGCATTTCCCATCTCTTACGTGTGTCTTTTGCAGTGTACTTCACATCTATGACAAAAGTATTGGTGAATGACTAAAACTGAGAAGTACAATATTGGTATTTAACACTGCAGGATAAGGAAGCATGCCTTGTGTTACCCTGTGTGTAAGGTCAGGTAGAGAGAAACCAACATCTCATTCAGCCTTCCTCACAGCTTTCTCCAAAAGACTTTGATACAGAAGAGTTGCATCTGGAACGTCAACTCCAGGTTAGATTCAGAAAATGTAATGGAGAATTTTAAGAAGCAGACACATGGTTTTGTGTTCATCTGGACTTTAAAAGAAAAAAAAAAAACGTTGTGTTCTTTCTCTTGATTGCCAGTCACTGTCCTTAAGTACAGTTGTTAAAAATAGTAAAAGAACTTTGTGGCCGAAGAAGTGTAAATATTTTCGTTTCAGTGGGAGTTTCATAAGAGCTAAGCCTAAATGGGTTGTTTACCTCATTACAAAGAAATGTGAAAGCTTCCGGTGATCATGTGTGGTTTGCTCTTCTTGCTCCATCATCTTTGTTGGCTTCGTTTATTGTTAACATTGTTTTTGCTGCTGTTTTGTTTTGTTTTTTTTTCCAGCTATCTGAACGACTTGGACAGAATAGCCCAATCCAATTATATTCCAACACAGCAAGACGTTCTTAGAACTAGAGTGAAAACCACAGGCATTGTTGAAACCCACTTCACTTTCAAAGATCTCCATTTTAAGTGAGTAAATCCAGTACCTCATGTCCATTTTGGGATTTTTTTTTTAAAAATACATTACTACATTTGTAGCACTGGAAGCTATAGTTGGAAAATCTCCGATGATGGAACAAAAGAGTTGGGTGGTGGGGGAACGGAAATTAAAAAAAAAAATGGAAGCTGCTTTAGGACGAATATTTTTATGCATGAGTAATACCTTGACAAATTTCATTTGCCTATGGTTTTTGCAACAATGCCAGTAGAAGTAGTTATTGGCTAACTCGTTGGTTGCTGCTGCAGGACAGTGTAGTATATTTTCAAAGTGTCCTATCATTTTTGGGTAAAAATTTTACCGATAGGAGACATATGCTTGATGGTGGAAATCCTGAAAAACAAGGTGCTTTTTCAAACTTGTTCATGGAGATTCTCATTCATAACAAAGTGAAAATTGCACTGTTTCAGTTGAACAGTGCTTGCTGAATTTGGAGTGTTCTGCATATGAACTTACTGGGGTCTGTGCGGAGGACACTCAACCATCTCCTGCCAGCACAGGAAAGATCTTTGGTTTTCTCTTATTGAGTCTCCTCATTTTGTAATGAATGAAGCAGGCCCATGGAGATCAAACAAAGCAGTTCATGCAGATGTGTGGAGCTGAATTTCTGTTTGAGGGGAAAAAAAAAAAAACGGTTTCTAAGGGGTGAGGATGATTGGACTTCTGTTTTCAGATTCTTGTATTGTTTCTACAGACATTGTAGTCAGTTACTTTAATAGACTTCTCCCTTTCAGGTTGGTTGAATCTGGAATTAGGTAGCATGACTTCCTTCTGCTAAGTGCTCTACTGACCGATCCCAGTTTTTAACCCATTGCCATTAAGTATGTATTGCTACTCATCATTTCTGGTTGACCTCACCCTGGTTAAGATAATAACAGTGAAATCGTGCAAAAACAGAGGCTAGTGTCATGGCACAGTGAGTTAAGTTACTGCCTCCAATGTCCAGCATGCCAAGGGATGCCGGTTCGAGTCCCTGTTGCATCACTTACCAGGCTTTCTGCCAGTGTGATTGGGAGATGAGCAGGTGGTGGCTGAAGCACCTGGCTGCAGCTCCTTTTTGACATTCCAGGCTCTTGATTTTGGGGAGTGAAACAGTGCATACATTCACTTGTGCATTCTCTCTCTCTCTCTCTCTCTCTCTGTCTCTTTCTCCTGCTCTGTTTGTAGTTCTTTTAAGAAACCACATCGTTTTAAAAGAAATAAAATAAAAAGAAACAAATACAATAATAAACATTACAAGACTTTATACTGAAGCCTTCAGAACCTCCACAGAAACCCCAGACTACTGCAGTGTGACTTGATCTAAAAAGACAAATTAAAAACACTTTATAGGCTTTCTTCCTCCTTTTTCCTCTCCATCCTTGCCATTATTTGCTCCCTGAAACTAAATAAAAGTGTTGGCAGAAATTCCATTTATGAAACTGCTGGCTTCTCATGATTTAAAGTCATTGAAAATGTCACATTTCCTAAAGGCTGGTTGAGCATCCAGCAGCAGGGATTTTGGAAACAGACTTGCACAGCTTGGAAGGGACCCCTGAAAATCCCCTGCCTTATGTAAACCTGCATTGAGATTTATTCAGTGTGCATTAAAATTCGTGGAGTACCTGAGCCGTATCAAGTTTTTGCTGTTGTTGTTTTTAGTTTTTAACTGTGCAAAGTTGGTCGTTTTTGGGCAAGGTTGCTGTAAGAACCCATCAAATACTTTTCTTCACACTGGTGGTGCTTCCTAAGTAGGTTGGCTCCAGGAGAGTGTACACTAGTTGTAATTGTGGAAAATCAGGTTTAGAAAAGGCACCAAGATAGCTTTTATTCTTTGCCTAAATATTCATAATTTTGTATAGTTTTCTAAATTTTCAATTTAATCAGATCTTTGATTTTCTCCTGCAGATCTGTGCTTAGTAGAGGGTCTCATTCTTTTTTTTAGATACTCAGGTTCCCAAGAGTGTATATCTACCCTCTGCCTTTATTTTGCAACAGCTCTGCAGTCAGACGAAAAACAACAAACAGCACAGTGTTCAATCATCCTGCACTTGTCAAGAAAGTAGTTTATTGTGCATGTGGTTTGCAAGTGAAGCATGCTATATTTTGTTGCTGGCTTTATTTTACATTTTTCTCTCTTCACCTGCTGCAAATTTTTATGATCTGGGATATTCGTTCCAAGGAAGGCTTCACTGTGAATTATGGGTGAGACTTTGTACCGTTCACGACCGTATTCCGAAACAGTGATGATAAGAAAGCAGAAACTACTGAACACATCTGCCTACTAAAAGTTGTCTAGACAGAGATGAAAAGTAATCACCTCTCAGCCCCCAGGGATATGCGTCTATACCTCTGATGGCTTCCACACATGTTTTAGATAATATACATCCGTTATTATCATTTTTCACGGATTTTTTTTGGTAGCTCATATAACTGGATTTTCCAGTGAAATGAAGTTTAGTTTCAGTCGCCTGTGGCTGTTCTCATTTTTTCCCACCCCTTCCTTACTTCCCCCCAAAGGCCCAAACCTAGTTTGATGTCTTAAATAATTGTATGGGTAGAGACCATGAGTCATATGTCTGGCAATATTTTCTTCACGCTTCTATGCGGGTGGGATTTTGTAATGCTTTCATTTTTTTCCCCTCATTTTGATTGATGAGCCCTTTTTTACCCCCACTAACACTATGCTTACTAAAATCATTTACCTTCTTTTATTTTGCTTATTTCTCTTGTAGAATATTAAATAAACAGTGCTCTGAATTCACATAATTTGCTGTGTCTGATGGAAGAACATGTGTCATATTCGTCTTGAAACGATTACATGGTTTTAGTATTGGCTGTTGGCTTTAAAATGTATTTCTTTTTAAAGCTAGTGAACGTTAGTTTTTTGGGGATTTGTTCCCTTAAAGATTGTGTTCTAAGGCAAACTAAAAGGATGGCACTCAGATAAGAGCTTGTTTCTAAGCAGTATCCTTGGAGGACAAAATATTTGGAGTCAAGGTTAAGCAAGTGGGGTATCCAGGCCCAGGTTCCCCTGGAACAGAGCTAGGCAATCATAATCCAATAGAGACTACAATACAGACTTACTGCAATGAATTATGGCCTATCAACTGTCATAAAGGTTAGAACTCTCCAAGCCCTGAGAAATGATTGTAAATGTTAAATCCATCCAACGGGACTTAAGACATTCTGAGCCAGTCAAGTTCACAGTTCATGCTGGTCGGATGCACTCTTGAGCATGTGCTTCCAAACCATATTTTTCATATTCTGGCTCCATTTGGGCTCCAGGGGCGAGGCAGAAAAGCATGTGTGTGTGTGTGTGTGTGTGTGTGTGTTTTGTGTAGTTACTGTTCTTGTTTGCTAACATCAAGATAAACACAGGTGCGTCTTCATCTTGAGATAAACTTCCTCTTACTTTGAAATTGAATTCTGCGACATTGCCATCACTGCAAGCGTGTGCTTCTAACTTTGCCTTTTCTAGGTTTCCTGATCCTGGAATGAGTGAAGACAGGATTATTTATCTGGTGCTGCAGTCTGCACCGGAGGCACCTGTGTATGTGGCCCCCTGCTCACATACTCCCTGGAAGACAGCAGGTGCTGGCTTCAAGGACTTAGGCTTCCGTTGCCCGTGTGTTCGACCTGGCTCCTCATTTCAGTCTCACTTAGTCCTGTGTGGGGCTAAACTGGGGAATGGATGACCCCTCTGTGTCTCTGTCTGTCAAGGAACTTTAAAAAAAAAAACACTGATTCTCCTGAGAGTATCCTGAGAGGTTATCACTTGATCGTTGCGTGCATCTCATGTAACTCCTTGATGTTAACCACTAGGAATAATTTTAGGGTTACTGACATCTTTATGACTGAGATTAAATCGAAAATGAGGGAATAGGGCATTATACTGTGAGAGTTCATATTAGTTTGTCTAGACTTTATGGGGAGTATCTGTTCGGGCTGGTTAGCTTTAATTAAAGAATCGGAGCTCTACTACTGTTGCTGGAGGTAGAGTTAAGCATGGCTTCTTTTATGCAAGTATATGATGTTGGAAACATTTCCTTTTATCTGGTGCTCTGGTGTGTATAGTAGGGGGGTGCCCTAGCGAATGACCACAAACTGAGTACTTAGAGCACTAGGAAGTGATCTTTTTACAGTGCTGCAGGTGCAAAGATTGCCATCACTGTGTCCAAAGGACTTGTCCTCTGACAACTCCAAGGAGGATTCCTTTCTTGCCTCTTCCTGGCATCGGAGCTCATTCACTGGCAGCTGTATCGCTTCAATCTGTATCGCAATTGTCACATGTCTGTGTGTGTCTGGTTTCATTTTGCTTATCAGTTCATTCCTTAGTGTATCTCTTTTGCCCTCATTTGCTGTAAGTCACAAGAAAAAAAATGTGGTTTTAGCTCTCAACATTTTGCCAATTTCCCATGCTTCATACCCCCGTGTTGGATGTAAGTTCTACCGTCATGCACAGTAAAACGCAATCAGCCTACTGTTTGCCATTTCATAACAAAGATTGTCTTTCCTGCATGGTGTGATAACTTATTTCCTACGGAGACCTCATTAAAGGTGCTTCCAGTATTCATGTCCCTCCCATCACTGTTGATGATGGTACTGTCTGCTTCGAGGCCGTAGCTCTACTTCTCTACCTCTGAGTTCTTACTTGACTGGCCTCTGATGTCTGTTTCTTCAAAACAACTTAGTTCCCCCCCCCCACCCACCCATTTAGTGTTTTCAGTATTCGTCCAGCCTTGTCTACAATGCAATTCCAAAGCTACTTTCCCATTTTTACGCATTTGTTAAAGTAGCATCTCTCTCTTGGTACTCAAATTTGTATCAGTGAATCTCTCTGGAGAAACAGGACCAATGTGTTATGTTTGTTTCAGCGAATGGGTTCGTGTGATTGTAGAAGCTCAGGTTTATAGGGCAGAGCTACCTGCCTGCACATGAGTGCTGTTAGAGGCTTAGAAAGAATTTTGTCTAGGTCAGGAAAACCTCAGGTTGGGTCCCAAAGCCTTTCAACTCACAGCATGCCATCGGTCTACGATACTGAAGACTATCTCCATGATTAAAGATGTAACTCACATTTGTGAAATGCCATCACAGCAGTCTCCGGGTACTGGATTAAATAACAGGGTGGCCAGCCAGCCAAGCCAAAATCAGCCATCAGAGAAAACAGCAGATGGCCTGGGTGGAGTTATTCTTTTATATTGAGTGGACAGAGAGCATGCACGATGTTGTCACAGAAGTTCCCAAAGCCATGTTTATCGTTTTTGGTAAAGTGTCTTCCAGGTGTGTTAAGAAGCAACTTGACAAAGGTTACCCAGTTAAAACTCAATTTTATTTTGTTCTTGGTTGGTCTCCGTTACTAACTGTCCTTTAGGTATGCTATTCGTTTTTGTTTGGCATGTGGCAGAATCATTTTGTTACCCAGTGCCTTTATGTGCATTGGCTAAGCCAAACTAAGGGCCTCTTAAAGGATGAAAATAGGAATGATAGTAGTTGATGTGCTCAGATTCAATTTATAGGCCAATGGTGCTCTGTAGGGAAAATGCTTCTTGCCTGGGAATTAAATGGGGACTGTGTTAATTAGCGCACCATCTAGATAAATGCAGCCTTTAAAAATGTGCCAGTGTGCATAGAGCTTCTGTTACATAAGTGATTATTTCTAGGTTGCATAATGTAGTCTTTGTGGGTTTTAACTTTTGCCTATCTTTATCAACACTTGTAAGAAGAAAGGTCATTGTTTTTTAGCTTTTCCAAGTGTGTTGCTACGTCATTTGCTAACGTACAGTGGTTTACTGTTGTATATTGTACAAAAACTGAGTTTTTCATTCTCAGTTCTAAGCCTGTTTTTTCTTTACTTACTTATATTTTGGTTGTATCATGTTTTCTATACCATTATTTTTTCTTCTTTTCGTTTGTTCTTTAAGACTTCTTTCTTTCTTTTTGAAAGCCAGAGTTACAGAAGTATGAGAGACCAACAGGGGTCTTGCATTTGCCAGGTTACTCCTCCAAGTGGCAATAATGGCTAGGACAGAGCTGGGCCAAAATCAAGGGCCTGGAACTCTGTCTAGAATCCATCCCATATGATTGGCAGGATCCTAAAGACTTGGGTCATCTTGTGCTGCTTTTCCAGACGTAGTAGCAGGGAGCTGCCTTGGAAATGAAACAGCTAGGACTGGAACTGGTTCTCATATGGGATGCCAGCTTCCAGGTGACAGCTTAACCCACTCTGATAACAATGTAGGATAGGAAGAGTGGAGCTCGGTCCTCTGAGTCCTCTGCAGCTGTGGGAATGGACTATGCTCTCTTGATCTCTGCTATTCCCCCCACAGACCTCCTGTATCCCCGCTGTCCAATCCTTGGTATTCAGTCTCATGTTCTGTAAAGGCTCACACGTGAATGAATATCTCTTGTTTCAACAATATTTTGATTTCTCTTCGAGTTCTTGACATTCCATGACAAAGTTATCGGCGGTTTGGTTTTCTTCCCTGAATGGCCTTTTTTTGCTGCCTTCCCCACCAGTTATTTGGAGATTTTGCTTGGATCTCACCTCACCTGTATGTAACTCCTGTTAACTCCTTGTTTTTCTCTCTCGCAGAATGTTTGATGTGGGAGGACAGAGATCAGAGCGGAAGAAGTGGATCCACTGCTTCGAGGGAGTGACCGCTATCATCTTCTGCGTGGCCCTGAGTGACTATGATCTGGTCCTCGCTGAAGACGAAGAGATGGCAAGTAGAGCCACTTCCGGGGTTTGGGTATCATGCGCAACGAGGTAGACATGTTGCCAAGGCATTTTCCTGGGAAATTCTTGTTCATGCCTCAACTATTTGTAGCTCTTTCCTCTGACATTTTTCTGCTTGCGTGGTTGAAGAGAATCTAGTGCAGGTGGATGTTATGAAAAATGAAAAGATGGAGAGTACATCTTATCCCAACCCTCTCACTCTCTGAGCCTCCACCTGCCATCTCCATCCTAAGTACCAGTAGAACCAACTCCACAGTCATCCAGGGCCCCTTTTTCTTCTAGTGTTCCATGTACGCATTCAGTTACTTTCGCTACACAGATGCTATATTGTGCTACTGCCATGCCGTTTTCTAGCACCTTTTGGTGGAGGAAAAATATTTTTACACGGAAATTGAAAACTCTGTCATTTTGAATTAACTTCAGTACAAAATTGGGTTGGGTTGAGGGATCAAGATAGAAATGCAAATTTTCTATTTTTAGACTCACGACCAGGAAATTGTTATGTAGTAGGTGGAGTACAACACTTTTCATTCATTTCGTTCATGTTAATACTAGAAAATGTTTCAGGGTCCTTCAAAAATATAGTGTTTATTTATTTTTGCGGGGCTGGGGCTAAGACAGTAAGTTCTTCCATCCTGTTTTAATCCTCAAATGCCCACAACAGCCAGGACTGGTCCAGAATTAAGCTGGAGCTCAAATTTCGCTACTGCTCTTCCAGATGCCTGGCAGGGACCCCGATTCTTGAACTATCACTCTGCCCCCCAGGGTGTTCACTAGCACACTTGGACTCAGACACCCCGATGTGGATTGTGGCTATGCCTTTGCTGCTAGGGCAGAAGATGCCATGCCCTTTTATTTGAAAGAGAGAAATATCTTCTTTCTACTGATCCACTCCAAATGCTCACAGTAACTATGGTTGGGTCCGGTGCCCAACACTCAATCCATGCCTATCACGGTAATGGTTATGTTCACAAAAACTTGACCCATTATGGGCTGCCTCCTGGATTCCACAGTGGCAGGAAGCTCGATTGGAAGGAGAGGAGCTGGTATTCCAAGCAGTTTCTTAGCCACTGCGTCCAACACCCACCCCTGGTCAGTGAGTGCCCTTTGGAAAATGTAGGGAGCAGGAAGTAGGAGTCTCTGGTGCTACTGTTTGGAATGGTTGGCTAATTGGGTTTCATAGGATCCTTGTTCTAAATTGATATTCTTTGTTTTTGCAGTATATTATCTACTTTTCATCTAGTTCTCTTTGATTGATTTTTTTTCTTAAAGGATTCTTCAAAATCCTAACTACTAGAGGATTCCTCAAAATCCTGTTAGTGACAATATGCTTTTATTTTCTGTGACAGAATCGAATGCATGAAAGCATGAAATTGTTTGACAGCATATGTAACAACAAGTGGTTTACAGATACATCCATTATCCTGTTCCTGAACAAGAAGGACCTCTTTGAAGAAAAAATCAAGAAGAGCCCCCTCACCATATGCTATCCAGAATATACAGGTATTAAAAGTCATGTATTTCAAAGTAAAAACTTCCCCTATGGCAAGACAGGGTTAGTTGGCTGCTCCATGCTTTTCTGTGATAACTCCAGGGCTTCCTAAATTTAAAGCATCGTTCACCTGAATAACAGAGCCTATGTCGAGTAGCATAGAATACATGGTAAATAGGACCAGCTCACCGTGTAAGCCCCAGGACCGTTGATTGCACCATTGAGCACACCCTTGCAATGCTACATCATTATAAGGAAAACAGAAGGCAGAAGATCTCACTGATGTGATGGACTTTTCCAGAACGTCAGGGAAGATGTCACAGACAGTACCTGTTTTGATAACTCATCTGTTCATGTTGACCACCCTTGGGAAAATGCCCTTGAAGGGGAAAAGTTAGCCAGAAGTACGTTTCCGCTTTGCCAGGATTAACTCTTGACCTTGAATGTATAGCAATAAACTTGCCTTGCCTTCAGTACCCCAACTCTGAATCAACAATAGGGTTGCAGCGTTGGTGTTAGTTTCCTGCCCCCCAACACCTCCCCTGTTTCCCTTTCGATGACGTCATCAACTTCTTGATTCTCCATTTTCTACCTGGAATCACCCAGAATATGTTCAAGCAACTGAGCTAAGTGCTCAGGATAAGGTGTTCCTGCAAATCTTTATTAATCTAGCAGCTGCAGTAACTTCTGTAGCCAGCAAGACACTATGGATTGTTGTAGAACTTGGGAGCACCAGCTCTAAGTCATAATAAAGTGAGTGTGCTGGGCTCCGTGTACTTTAAATGTCTGCTGGTTCACGTAGGACTATCAGTCCGTCCCTTCTCCACCTAGATACAGATCTGCTGGGTCTGACATGCAGTCTCTGGTTGCGTTTGTACTCAGCGCAAATGTGTTATCTGCACCTGTACCTCCCAGGGGGAGATGTTTGTTTGTTTGTTTGTTTTAATTTTCTTTTGGTGGCTACCATCATAGATTCTTGTTTAATTTTTTTTTAATGAAGAAAAATAAGGGAGTGATGCTAATTAATTCACAAATAGCAAAGGGAATAAAAAAAACACCTGTTGGTGTTTTCAGCCAACATGGTTGACCTTCATGTTGATCATAATGTTTGATAATGTATCGATCATAATATTTCAGCCAACATTATTGATCCGCCTCAGGGTTAGATTAAAGATGCCACCGTCAGGCATCTGAGCATTTGAGTGTGCAGAAGTAGAGGGTGGGCCAGAGAGAAAAGACACCTGGCGTTCCCGGTAATTCAGCAGGAATAAAGACCGTAGGAACCTAAAGAGCCACACAAGGCGTATTTTGTTATAGCTGTTGCAGTTGTTAAATTTTTAGGAATGACTTAGAGACATTACAAGGTGATTAACATTTGATATGTTCTGCCTTGGCATCCTCCGTTTTGTTCCAGAAGGGAAAATCCAGTTAAAGAGCCTCACATATTTTATGTGAAGAAAGCTGACTTCAATATTTTAATTTTTAACTTCTTATATTGTATTTCTTCCCCCCCCCCCCTTTTTTTAATTTTCTGGTTCAGGATCGAACACCTATGAAGAGGCAGCTGCGTATATTCAGTGTCAGTTCGAAGACCTCAATAAAAGGAAAGATACAAAGGAAATTTACACCCACTTCACGTGCGCCACCGATACTAAGAATGTGCAGTTTGTTTTCGATGCTGTCACAGACGTCATCATCAAAAACAACCTCAAAGACTGTGGTCTCTTCTAAGTCTTGCAGTGAATGGTAAATTGCATTTTTCAAACCAAATGAGTCCTATACGGATTTCTCCCTCCTAGAGTCTTGCAGCAACACAAGAATGTAGGCTATGGCAAATGCATCCGGCACCTCACCAAAGTTATTCTGTTCTGTTTTTTGTTTGTTTGTTTGGGATTTTTTTTTTTTTTTTGGTCTCAAAGTAGCAGAAGGACTTTAAGAGTGAAAGCCGGTTCCGCAGTGTGAAGCTGAAGGACGGTGTTAAGCTGGGCTCTAGAATCTCTTGACTTCTGTGTCTCTGTGTAAATATGCAAATGTCATGTTCACATGTAATTTATAACTTTACTTTTCCACGTGACTATTAGATTTCGCGAGTGGCAACTTTGAGTTGTAGTGTAATGGCTTTGAAGATAACATCACTCTCAAGTACCCTGGGCTGAAGGACCGACCATGACTGCGTCTGCCAGTTTTGACCGCTTTATTTATGTTCGTATCTTAAGTATTTTTTGGAGTACAGTAATTGATCTGAGGAGATGTTACAGCCTTGATCGTGACGACGTGTATACTTGTGTTCATACAGATGTTATTTGTACAAACGTTGCACAGACTATTTTAATAACATGATTTGTTCCTTAAATTGACCGTGTTTTATTGAAATGTTCTTAAAGAGGGTGACTACGTACCTGCCTCTGAATCCATTATTTCAGCCTTGTGTGTGTTTTAATTACGTGCTGCCCTGGTTCCACATGAGCTCTAGCTTGAAAAACGAAAAATTTCCCAATTTTTAGGATATACAGCTTTTAAGCCTATTCTAAACACTTTCTTTATTCAGTTAGTTTGTTTTCACTTGGAATTTTGATATCTGGATGGTATTGCCTTAAAAAGGTGATGCCTGGTTGATTTTTATACTCTTGAAATAACTGAATTTTTATTTATCACAAAGTCTAAGTGGAGATATTGAGCGCACTCTTGAGAGTAAAGAAAAAAAAAAAAACAAGCCAGTGTCAGCATTAATGAATTTTGAGACATCACGTCATGCCTGGTATGCCACCTTAGAGAGGTTGGTTAGAAAAATCACGGATGCAGGACAACCCTCCAATTCATCTATGTAACTGGTTTCAAATTCAGTTATCACACTGTATCACACCTACTTTTTGCCTGAGGTTCTCAAACCCCCTCCGCTTGCTTGAGCTCATATTCTTTTTCAATGATGCTCATATTTCTGAGGCAGAAATGGACCGTGGTACTTGCACATGACTAATCATATTTAAAAGTCCGTGGGTCTATGTATGCTCCAATTCACCGTTGCTTATCGGCTAGTTAGTACCTCGGGTAGGACCCTTTTTCTTTGGGTTACTTACTCTTAGTGTGTTTCTGTGACGTTGTTTCAGCCAAGCCAACAGCTTCCCCCCGCTCCCCTCCCCCAGCCAGCCTCCCTCTTTTTACTCATCTTGGGGAAAACAAACAGAAAAACCTAGTCTTTCAGTAAGCTTCACTGGGAAATGGCTTCTTGTTTTCGTTGCGTGCTCTCATCTTGTTGACGTTCAGTTTCGTGTGGCCATTTCCCTAAAGAACAGATGTTGAAGTGGGTGCATATGTGTGTGTGTGTGAGTAGTCATAAATGATATCTGTGCCTCTTTTCTTCTTGGGAATTCTGTTCCTTCTCCTTTGTAATGTACAGAAATTCAGACTTATTGCAATTCCTTCAATGTGTTAATTTCTATTCTTTCTGTGCCTTTCATCCGAAACGTGTGTTCATTCATTTTATTGATGGGAATCCTGTAGTGTCCACGTTGTGAAGCTGTGTTAACTCAAGTCTAACTGAAATATGAATAAATTTGAATCATGAGAACTATGGTTTTAAAAAAAAAGCCACAAAGAAGCACATATTGTTGACCATCATTGGTGAATTCCTAAACTTTATTCTGTGTAACTGTGTTCCTAATAAATCCTAATAAATTTAAATTTTTAAAATTTTATACACTGTTGCCTAAACACGTCTCCATTAGAATTAAACATCAGCCTATCTTATCTCCAGTTCATCTTTCTCAATGTTTTATTTCACATCTTCACCCACTCCAGATGCTATTTTTTTTTTCTGAACCAAGTTTTTTCATGAAGTGGATGCCCAGTTTTGGAATTGCCTGCTTCATACCCCTTTCTAAGAATTTATCATCTGCTGCAATTCCCTGTGTCCAAACCCAGATTCTCCCTCACTCCTGTTTGAGCCTAGCTCTCCTCTCCAGCTCTGCCCTTTTAGCAAAGGAAGACCACTTAGTGTGGTCCTCCTCCGTGGGGAAGGTGTTGGCCACTCAAAGCCCTTCCTGTCTTGCCTCTCTGTCTCTGCTGATACTCCTCCGTCCCCATACTTATTTGGGCGTTGTTTTACCTTTCCATTCCATCTCTGGTACCAGCCTGCTGAGTCGGAGGTATCTGCTGAGCTTCCGTTTGAGATGGCTTAGTGATGGAATCCCCGCCTCCCCTTTTTCCTGCTTCTCATCTAGTTGGTTGTCTTAATATAGAGCAGTCGCTGTGTTGCCCTCTATTCTGTGACCTTCTTTGGCTCTGTCAATAGAATTAAATAGAACTCAGCCACTCTCCCACTCAAAGCCTTCTGTTACCTCAGCCCACTGCTCACTGCTCCCTCTGCTCCCCCAGCTCCTTTTGGACAATGCATTCAAGCATGGGCTACGCACTACATCTAACATGCTCACAGTATTGTCTGGAGACAAGGAAATGGTCATATGTGTCTAACATTTGCATAGTTTATTGGTTTTGTGTATGATAACCTTGATTTAGACATGTTTCAGAAGGAAGAATCAGGAGACAGAGACCCTCCATCCACTGGACCACTCCCTAAATTCTCATGGTAGCTGGAAATGGGGCAGACTTAAGCCCAGAACCAAAAATTCAGTGCAGGTCTTTTCAGCGGCAGGGACCCAACTGTTGGGCCATAACTGCTTCCTCACAGGATGCACGTTAGCAGGAAGCTGGAATTTGAACCCAGGGACTATGGGTTGGCCACTGTACTCAAAACTCACAAAGAGATGTGCCATCCAGTTTTCTCTTTCAAAGTCCTCACAATGTCTGGGACATAGCTGGTTAAACCTGGGAACTGGGAAGTCAACCCAGGTTTGCAAATGGTTGGCAAGAACACAAATCCACGGGCCATCCTGCACTGCCTGCGTTAGCAGGGACCCAGGGAAGGAGGCTGAGCCAGGATTAGATGTGGTGTTCTAAACCACCGTGCCAAATGCCTGTGCCGTGATTCCTTTCATTAATTCCACTGATAGCTGTTCTTCAGTCTGTCTTTTTAGGGCATAGGGCGGTTCCAGCCAGGCTGCCAGTCACAGCACGTGCTTTCCCTGGGCTGTTGGCCAAGGTCTGGTCAGCCCTAGTTGCATCACTGGGCAAGTGACTGAGATGGAACCAGTCATAGTCCTAGGTGCCATGCCCATACGTCTGCAGCTCTTGGGGTTTCCCAAGTTCTCTTCACTCACGTAAGTACTGTTCTGAGAAACTACTCTTAATGCCAAGTTCATTCGGTCTTGCTCAGTCCCTTGTAGAAAATGTACTGACTCAAATTTCCACATTGCTGTAGAATGCATACCTTCCCTGGGAGATACATCAGAGGCTTGTTATTTCAGTGGTGCCTATCCACGTTTGAAACTAAGGACTTCAGATTCTATGTCTGTCAGACTCCTAAGAATCTGTACCTTATTTCTAAAAAGGGAATAAATAGTCTTACTAATCCCTACTCTACCCTCTGAGGCAACCATATATAACCAAACAAATAGGATGGGGCAGGCCTGTGAGTGCAGTGGCTAATTCTGAAATATTTGTGTTCTCAATATTTGGCACCATCTGTGTAGGAGATCCGGATTAAGCTCTGAACGCTAGTTTCAACCTGCCCCACTGCCAGCTGTTGTGGATGGTTGAGGAGTGACTCAGCAAATGGAAGATCTTCGTCTCTCTCACTATGCCTTTCATGTAAGATAAAAATAGATTAAAACAATTAAAAAATCCATACTTATACATGTTGCAACAAAGCTATGTGTGTTGCCCTAACACCCGTTGGATTTGAAGATTGAACCATTCTGAGCATTTTGATGTAATTTGTTGCCAGCAGAATCTCCTTGAGTGCCTTGGATAAGTAGATTTAGTCAATGCAAGCAGCATGACACTGTTAGCATGGACACTTCTTAGTGTGCTAGTTTTAGAAGTGGAAAGTCAAGGTGGAGATCTAAGTCTAGGTCCAAAGCTCAACTCTCTTTAAAATTATTCGAAAAGCAGAGAGAGAGAGAGAGAAAGTCTTTCACTTTGTGGTATGTGGGCCAGATGCCCACAACAGCCCGGGTTAGACACGGCTGAAACCAGGGGTCCCGAATTCCATCCTTCTCTCCCACACAGGCAGAAAGACATGCAGGCGCTCGGGCCATCTTCCACTGCTTTCCCAAGGACATTTCAGGATCTGGGAAAGAAGTGGAGCAAAACTGGATTGAGCCTGAACTTGTAATGGAATGGTGACATTTCACACAACGGCTTAACCCACACACCACGTCATCACTCTTGTGAAATGGATGACTTTGGACAAGGTGTTTCTCTTCGTTTTCTTCCTTTGTGTCATCTGCATAAATTAGGGAGTATGGGACCAAATCGTTGATCTGGTTGTTTTTGGCAGCGTTAAGTTGGTAAAGCACACTAACCACTTAAAAGTGAGAATTGTATGTCATAAGCCTTCAGTAAGTGCTGCTGTTATTAAGAATATTTTACCATGGCTTTAAAATTGCATCGGCAATTAACAAATGCTTGAGAAGCAAAACTGCATGCTTTGTCTTCAGAATTAAAAATTCCCAATGTCTCACATTAATGTTAATACTGGACAACAGGAATGAGAGGAAAATGCATATTTAATCAATTTCAGGACACTTCCCTGCTTTAATCAAACCAACGCTATGGGATATGTGTTTGATTAAAATGGTGCATGTTACCACATACAGCTGCTGCCTGCTACGCCAGCCTCCCATACGGATGTCAGTTTGTGTCCCAGGTATGCCACTTTTGATCCAGCTCCCTGCTGATGGCCTGGAAAGCACAGTGGATGTCTCCAGTGTTTGGGCCCCAGTCGCCCCTACAGGTGATGCTTCCAGCTTCGACTTAGTCCGACCCTGCAATTGCAGCCGTCTAAGAAGTGAGAGAAGGTAGATCTGTCTTTCTCACCTTCCACGCTCGAAGCTCTCACTTTCAAATAAAGGAATACATCTTTATTGAGTTACAGAGAGAAGGAGAGACAGAGAAAAAGATTTTCCACCTGCTTGTTTACTCCCTAAGTGACGTGAACGGCCAGAGCTGAGCTGATTCCGAGCCAGGAGCCAGGAGCCAGGAGCCTCTTCTGGGTCTCCCACTCAGGTACAGATTCCCAAAGCTTTGGATCATCCTTGACTGCTTTCCCAGGCCACAAGCAGAGGGAGCTGAAAGGGAAGTAGGGCAGCTGAGATACGAGCTGGTGCCCACATGGGATCTTGGTGCATGCAAGGCGAGAACTTTAGCTACTAGGCTACTGTGCTAGGCTATACATTTTTTTTTAAGGTA